ATCGGTGCATGCCTTTGTAGTCTATCATAAACAACAAATCAAACTCCACCGCAACCACCCCGGCGCCTGAGAAAATGGATCTCTACTTGTTCCTTAGTTGCTCACTCTGCCTCATTTTCACCGCCACCTTCCTCCATTTACTAGGGAGATCAAAAACCAGCGACCGAGCCCCGGCGGGCAAACTCCCGCCGGGTCCCACCCGGGTGCCAATCATCGGCAACCTCCACAATCTGGGCCCCAACCCTCACAAATCACTGGCCGATCTGGCCAAGGTCCATGGGCCGTTGATGAGCCTGAAGCTGGGCCGAGTCACCACGATCGTGGCTTCTTCCCCTGCCATGGCCAAGGAAATCCTCCAAAAGCACGACAAAGTCCTCTCCAACCGCCACGTCAACCTCGCCATGGAAGCCCTCGACCACCACAAATTCTCCCTGCCGCTTCTCCCCGTGGAGTCCAAGTACTGGAGGAACCTCAGGAAAGTGTGCAACTCCTACATCTTCACCGCCCAGAGGCTGGACTCCAACGAGGAGCTCCGGAGGGTCAAGGTTGCGGAGCTCGTGGAAGGTGTTCGACGAAATGCCTCCGGGGAGGCGATTGACGTTGCGAGGGTGGCCTTCAGGGCCACTCTCAACGCCATGTCGTCCACCATTCTTTCGATGGATCTTGCGGACGAGGAGAGGTCGGAGGCCGCCAGGGAGTTCAAGGAGCTTGCGAGGGGTATCATGGAAGACTGTGCGACGCCCAATTTGGGAGACTTTTTCCCTCTCCTTGCGAGGATGGATTTGCAGGGGATCAAGAGGCGGGTGAAGGGTCATTTGAGAAAGGCTTTGGATCTGTTTGAAACTGTCATCGACAACCGGTTGCGGAATCGGAAGTCGGAGAGCTATGTCTCGGCGAACGACATGCTCGACACGCTTCTTGCCATCGGGGAGGAGGACAAGGCGGCTGCCATGGATCCACTTCGCATCCAACGCTTGTGCGTGGTGAGTATACTATACTATACTATACTCTTTCAGTACCAACCAATAATTAATTAATTACTATGCTCACTCTACGGTCTACACTACTTACTAACGCAACCTTTGTTTTGACGTATATATCAGGATCTCTTCGTAGCAGGGACCGATACAACTTCAACCACACTAGAATGGGCAATGGCAGAGCTTCTCCGCAATCCCAATGCACTTGCTAAAGCTAGGGAAGAACTGGACGCAACAATTGGGAAAGGCAATAATTTTCAGGAGTCGGACGTCTCTCGATTACCGTATTTACAAGCAATATTAAAAGAGACATTCAGGCTACACCCAGCAGCTCCCCTCCTACTTCCGCGCAAGGGAGGAGAAGATGTAGAGATTTGTGGTTTTATCATGCCCAAAGGTGTACAAATTCTAGTCAATGTGTGGGCCATCGGTCGAGATCCGATGATATGGGATGATCCCAACGCATTCGTGCCGGAAAGGTTCTTGGGTTCCGAGGTTAGTGCTAAGGGGAACAATTTTGAACTGCTTCCATTTGGCGCGGGGAGAAGGATCTGCCCAGGATTGCCTTTGGCACTGCGTATATTACATATGATGTTGGGTTCCTTGATCCATTGGTTTGATTGGAAGTTGCCAGATGGGGTCGAGCCAGAGAAGTTGGATATGGACGAAAAGTTTGGGATGGCTTTGCAAAAGGCCAAACCTTTGCTTGCCATCCCTACTCCCAGGTAATCAGAAAATCTGTAATTGAAAGCAACTGCTATGGTGATCGATGCAGCGTTTGACATTCTGAATGTAAGTGATTTGTGGCATTTTCTTTGAATTGGTAATATGTAAGAGACATTTTGATTTGGCAAGCATGTGGGAATGGTGATTGTAATAATACAAATATTGCGTGATATATATTATGAGCACTGATTAATATTTTGCAACTTATTATCGATTATCATTTAGAGTATCTCAAACATATAATCCTGATTTGGATAATACTGTATAATGTCAATATGTCATATATTACTATCATAATATAAAATCTTATTACTCAGGTACGGACCGGTACCACCTGTGTTTTCCCACTCTACAATATCTTACCTTACCATCACAACGATCTGTACGTAGTCTAGTCGTAATTGGCTAATTGCTGGAATTGTTGACCACCCAACTTCAGTAGTGCTGACTTGACGCTAGCTAGCTAGCTTGACTACGCTTTTGTTGAAATTGACATATATGCATTGTTGAAGTTGAACCAAACGGGCGATATGCAAATCAAAATAAACAAGAATCTCCCACAGCACAAAAACAGACAAGCAACATATCGTAGCTGCCATTCATCAATCTTTCATTTGCTTTGGCTAAGCCCACCACATGGCACATGGAGCTCTCTAGAAAGCGTATAACAATAATAATCTGTGTGTCTGTTCGTTTGTTACATTTGTTGTTTGTGTACACATTCATGATTCATCTCATTAACTTCCCGTCAAAAACGTTTCCCCGCCCCCTCCCAAACGTACGGTTTATACAACAAGATTCCCTCTCTCACCTCTTCCGCCAAAAACGATTTCAAAATTCCCAAATTTACAGCCTCTCCCATACAACTACTCCCTCACCGTGACACACGGAACTGGGGAAGAAGACTTTAGACTTGCTGTGATGGCCGAAAGAATCCCACCTTCTGGTCACCGGGTTCGACCAAACCCTCCTCCATTTTGCTGCTACATTAACAGATACAGAGTATACAAAAACACCTCCCTCATTCTCCCTCCGCCCATTGAGATACTGCACAAAGTACGTCATCCATCAGCTCCTTACCGATCAGCAGAAGTAAAAGGCAAAACTTTTGGATGGATTCTGGCAGATTAAAGATGTAAAACTTAGAAATTACCTATACCAGTCGAAGCAGGACAATTAGCATCATTTCTCTTCGCTTAATGATTGGAGTAGTTTCAACAACTCTCTGTTCTTTACATTTCTTCTTAGCAGCTTAGCCTGACAGCATACTCGATCAAATGAGTGATTTTCTCACCTACAACCATGGCCACCAGGCCCCCATTTTGTCAAGGTAGGCGAGACCTACTCTATTATAACCTGTTCCCGCTTAGGAAAAAGTGTGTAATAATTTTTACTGACAGTCCACAAAATACTGATATTTATAATAAGAGCTCCTGATCGAAGGAGAGAACGGGGAAATTCCATATGACCCGATATATCTGACAAGCCGCACTATACGGTTCCAATCAACCAGGATTTAATTTTGAAACATCAGCCGTCAGAAAAATAATATAAACAATTAATTATAATAGTCCATCATTAGTATTGAATTTTAAAATTTCATATTCGAATCTCTCGAGTAACACATTATAATGAATATCGCCATTATAAAAAAAAACACATTATAATGAAAACAAACATTTATCACCTTTAAACATTAATTATAAAATTGAAGCATAAAAATTAAATAAAATAAAATAAACCAAAACAAAACAGGAAGGAGTCGTTTAATTGCTGTACAGCACATTCTCACTCATGATTCCAAAACAATGGAAGTGGTTACTGATGACACTGATCAGCTATAATTAGAATTATTAAACCATTAGTTATTAGAATTATTAAAGGGTTATAGGTATAATATGCTCATTTACTATGACGTTTTATCAAATATATCCCTCTACTATTTTTTACACCAAACATGCCCCTGTACTTTGAAAAAATTATCAAACATGCAATTCTGTTAAGATTTTCAATGATAAAATCATCAATCATGGTTGAACCGAGATTTAGAAGACCCGACATTGGCAAATGGGAGCGAAAATGTCAATTTTTTCTCCCGTTTTATTTCTCTGGGTCTCTTCAAAGTGAAATTATTTGAATTATTTGGCTATACAAAAGAACAAAAAAAATCTAAAGTAAATTATTAGGGATATTTTAGACATTTGTGCCTCCCAAACCAAAGTTCCACCTTGGTTAACGGTTTTTGGTTGAAATCTTAAACAAAAGAGCATGTGTGATCATTTTTACATAGTACAGAGGCATGTTTGATGTAAAAAAATAGTATAAGGGCATGTTTGATTAAACGTCATAGTAGAGAGGCATATTATACCTATAACCCATTATTAAACTACTAGCAGACAAAACTTACCAAAAATCGAGATTTACTGTTTATTACGAAAACAGAGTTCTTCACCACATTGGGCATTTGGGCTGGACAAGTGATGACCGTTGATTATCGTTTTAATTTCCTCACATACATGGACTCAACTCTCAAGTGCAAATGGCCACACAGGTCAGCACCCACTCCCTCTTCTCCGGTGCACCGTCCTCTCCTCTATGTTACTTTTTTAGCTTTCCCCATTCACTTTTTTCTAGGATCAAATCCCACAACCAATCACAATCAGCGTTTATCAAGCCTCCTCTATTTCCTATATAGCTCCCTCATTTGTTCTTTCTTCTTTGCTACCTTATCATTTCTCTCACTCTTCACACAATTCTATATAATCATACAAAATATAATAGTTCCCACATCACACCCAATTGGAATATAGAGACGGACAGTCTCACACTCTCTTTTACCAAAAGGGTATCTATCTAATGCAAATGCAATAGACTGAGAGAGAATTTTTGGGATGACTGAAAGAGAGATTTAGAAGAAAGTGTGAGACGGATAGTCTCACACTTTCTTTTAGCCTAATACCATTCACCTCCGACACGGTTTTGCCCTACACTATTTTTTGCACCAGATTAATAGGGATAGATTTAGAGAGAATAAGGTTGTTCCTTACTATAATATGAAAATTTCTAGTTGCACCATGTCACTAAAGCATTGAAACTAGGATGTTTGGGTTCTAATTGTTAGGTTACAACCACTAGATTAGATCTGCATTGACCAAAATCAAGGTACGTAGGTGCGTGAATATATTACAAGTGAGCTTCATCCCATGGCAATTTTGGAAGATAGAATTGAAAATGGGAAGAGCCTAAACCAGAAGAAGGAGCGTAATGATAATCTTGTACGTGTGCACTAATTAATTAAGTTGGCCGACGGGCAGAGACAATGGTGGGTATGGTGAGAAGAGGGAGGTCTCGGCGGGCTGTAAGACCAACACACTCAGACATGTCCAAATCCTCCCCTCTCATTCCACCGGGAAGCTTCCAGTCAAAGTCCCTCACCAGATTCGCCAGCGCCACCTCCACGACGGCGAGGCCGAAAGAAATCCCCGGACAGCATCGCCTTCCAGCTCCAAAAGGTATCAGCTGAAAATCTTGGCCTTTGAAATCCACTTTGGCTTGGAGAAATCGCTCCGGCTGAAATTCGTCAGGCGATACCCCCCAATCGGCCGGGTCCCTTCCGATCCCCCAGGCATTGGTGAGGATCATGGTTCCTGCAGATACATCGTACCCCATTATGGTCGCATCTTGCATCAATTGCCTTGGAGGTAGCAGCGGGACTGGCGGGTGCAATCGAATCGTCTCTTTGATTACTAGCTTAGGTACTCCAGCTTGTGCAAATTAGCTTCAAAAATAATGACACATTCACCACCAACTTCTCTTCTGACCTCCTCCTGCAGCTTCTTCATCACCCTCGGGTGTTTCATCAGCTCCGACATTGCCCATTCCAAAAGCGTTGAGGTTGTATCTGTTCCTCCGATGAACATGTCCTAATCCATCACGGCAGTCATAGTTAAGTAACAGGGAAATTTACATCATACGTAAGTACCTTTTTTTATAATAAATAAATAAATAAATACCAAGATGACTGCTTTGATCCCGTCTCCATCCAGGTGGAAGTCGTCTGGGCTGTCCCTTTGGAGCTGCAGTAAGACATCTATGAAGGGTACTGCTTCGCCTTCTTCTTCTTCTTCTTCTTCTTCTTCTTCTTCTTCTTCTTCTTCTTCTTCTTCTTTTCCCCCTTTCTATCATGTTGCTCCGTTTCTCCAAACGAGCCGCGCTCTCCAAGACCGCTCCATCAAGAAACTCATCAAATCGTCTAGCCACCCTATCGACTCGAGCGTCGAACCCAGTGAGTCGACTCACCCACGAGAGCTGAGGAATGAACTCGCCCACACTTAATGTAACAACCAACTCCATGAGCTCTGCCAAAAGATCCCTAAAGACGGTATTGCCATCGTACTTCCTCCCGAGCGCCATCCTGCAGATGACGTCGTTGGTGAAGCAGGGAAGTAGCGCGCTCAAGTTCACCTCCTGCCATCAATATATATAATTGCACACATGATTTATTTATTCGAATTCGTACGTAGAAACAAGAAGTAATTTTGGAATATCTAATCGCAAATTACCATCTACCTGGCCCGTTTGGGCACTTGCTCGAATCCGATTGACCAGCAACCCGATTTCCTCCTCCCTCAAAGCATGGCAGGACTGGATTTTCTTGTTGCTGAGGAGATGAAGCACGCACAGTCGTCTGGCCTGCCTCCAGTGCTCGCCGTAGCGAGCGTTGGCGATGTCTTTGTTATCGTAGAGAAGCTTCTTAGCGGTTTTCAGATCTGGCCGGTCGGCGGAGATGAGGTCGTTGGTCTTCATCACCTCACGCGCCGCCTTGGAGGTGGAGACCACTAATACCGGCCTGCTGCCAAAGTGGAGCAGCATGAGGTCAGGGCCGCCATAAAGCTTCGCCAAGGCGGGGAAAGTTCGGTGAGGATACTTTCCCACTTGGTGGAGGTTCCCAAGGATCGGCAGCTTCGGCGGGGACGGCGGCCGTCGGGCTTTGTTTCCATGCTGCGATCGTTTGTTGCTGCTGCTGATAATATTTCGGATGATGAGTAGCACTAGTACTGCAGCAGCAAACACGCCGGCGGCCAGCACAAGTAACGGTACTACTATTGCCATGGCTGGCTTATCGATCAAATACGCTTTCTGCGCGCAATTCCATCTGATATTGATTGATGTCTATATATTTCCGCCAAAGTATTTTTATTTTATTTTAGGAGCACCTGCCATATATGAGACCTCTAGCGTCCTGTCGTTATACAGCTAATAAATATTCTCCATCTTCTACTCATCAAGTATTTTAGGAGAACGTGCATGGTTTGATCATTAAGTATATTTTAGGAGTTTGTTCCCTCCAAATTGGTCCTTGTTTTTTAATTTAATAGGAATCTTTCATGAATGATGTACTTCAATATTTATATTTGGAGAAGTGACAGTTTGGATTTTTATGTCTCAAATAAGAAGCTATGTTACTAGCGAATAAAGACTTAGTCTAGTGATTCTAATGTTGATTTTTCTATCTTACTACATTTCTATTGAAATTTTTGTTTACGTCTTCAACCTTAACATGCAGGTAAAAACAAAGTAGAGAAAAGAAGTGATTACATTATTAGTGTCTAAGAGCACTTCTGTAGTAATGTATCCTAACAATCACGAAATGAAATCATCACAGTTTATCGTGATCCACCTCGTTTGAAAATAAATATAACCATTAATTATAGAATTTAACCATTAGAAGAAAGGGGGTAAAAGTAAACAAAACAGGATGGAATCTTTGATTGCGGTCCAGCACATTCTCACTCATGACTCCAAAACAATGGAAGTGGTTACTGATCAGCTATAATAATCCAATAACTAATCAAGTAATTAACTTAATCACTACGTATATGACAAAGAACAAGTTGCTTCTTCTTTTAGTTGGAAACTTCATCCCTTTAGTCCTTTCCTTACTTCTTCTCGAATACAATTATGAGTTGTAAAACACTTCATATTTATTGTTATTTTATTATTGTAAGGGTTTATACTTCTATAATAGTATAAAAAAAAAAGTGTAGTTAACCCGGCCACCAGTTGCAAGTGCATCTTGCTAATTAATCACTAAAAAATAGTAGTGCTTCCATCCATTTCCAAATAAATAAATCAATTGCTAATCTCTCAAAAGAATTGTTTCTCTACTCCTTTAATTTTACTCGTAGTGAGAGCACTATGAGATCGAAAAGAAACTTTTTGCGGTAGTTTCAGCTTTTACCGACGGTCTCAGAAGCTCGATCCACCATCCTTAAATAGTTTGCAACGGTTCTGCTGGACTGTCGTACCAAATATGACTGACTTTTAGCGACGGGTGCGGTTTGACCGACGTTAAGTTAAGTTCAGATGCAAGTGAACTTGCATGATTAACCGATAAATTAATTGCGTGAAAATACAAAATATATATTACCCCCCATAGAAGAGAAGAAAAGTACAGCAGAGAAGCTGAGATAGCCTGATGGAGTGGCTATATAATAAGTTCATATCAGGAAGGGTCTTCAACTGAAAATGGAGCTAGCTAGCAATAGCATCGATTAATATATATATGTTTAAGTTTCAGTTAATTCCCGTTGCCTTGACAGTACTCCTGGGACTAAACTGAGCTGAGAAGAGGACGCCTGCTGGCACCCTTGTTGTTGTGTCTCAACATAACTAGGTAGAGTGGATCTTCAGGACTGAGTTGAAACAGCTTTATTGTCATGTAAACACAAGTAGCAAAACTGCAGACAGAGAAAGGAAGCAAAAAGGCAACAGATCGAAGTTGGTGTCAGCTTTTGCAGTCAAGTCAGTCAGTAGTCTTTTCTGTGAAAGCATATATATGGTTGAAGCTGGAAATTACGTACCATCCCGTCAATAAAAATGGAACCACCCACAGGGAAGCACTTAACCAACTTGTTTCCTTGTAGAAAACCCACACCTAGTACGTACGTACGTAGTAGATTAATTAAGACAACTTGGCAACAAATTAACATGGATCGATCAGCAGGGAACTACAGATCGAGCGAAGAGAATCGTTTCGTTTCGTTTAATTTTAGGCTTACCAAAAGACACACGGTGACAAAAGAGGAGTCGATCACTGTTCCTATGATCCACCTACGTACACACACATGGTTTTGTCACAAAATCACATTGCATGGATCGATTATAACCGACCAAGTCAGTCTAATTAACTAGCTAGCTAGCTTGATTACGCCATTTTTTTTAAAGTGATTGAGATTGGCGATGAGAAATTAAAGTCGTCTTACGGGGCCAGGAGGACCTCCATGCGGAAAGGAGAACCGGCGGCGAAAATGGAGTAAACCACAGCTGCTATCATCAAGCAAACCAAACTTATGAACCCAATTCGTGCAGCCACGACGAAACAAGACTTGTCCGTCTTCCCCTTAATCTCTTCATCATCATAGCTCCTCCTTATAACATTAGTTAGCTGTAAGTACGCACGTACGTATAACAGAAAGAATCAGTACGTTAAGACAATATATATGTGGTACTTGTGCTCGTGTCGCAATAGCACATGGTAGATAGGGTCTTGCTGGGATTCTTGAGGTGACAACTTGAGAAGCTGAATAAAGACGTAGCCGCAAACCACCGCACTGTATTGGTGAGCACAGAGAACGTACGTAACACATAATTAACACATCTTCAATCCACACATATATATATGTAAGCCTAGATAGTTTAGAAGGGACTACAACTCCTAGCCGACTCGCTCGCTCGCTCGCTCTAAATCTCGATTTCGTTACTATTTAATGAACATATATATACCTGCCAGTAGGGAACATCACAAGTAGCCAAATTGCGGAATGCAGAAAGCTGGACTCCTTGTAGACCACCCAGAGCTGAAACAGAGAGAGAGAGAGAGAGAGAGAGAGAGAGCCCAAGTCAATCTAATAAACTGTAGCTAGCTATGTATATAGATTATAGAGCAATCGCTCGGAAAGCACAAGAAGCTAGCTAGCTAGCTAGCTGTAAATAATAAATAAATACCGCAAAAGGGGACATGTTGACGAAGAACTCAGCGATTCCAGTACGCAACCATCTGCGTATTGCAAGAATAAATCACCAAAGAGAGAGACAAAATAGCTAGCTAAAACTGAAAGAAGCAAGCAAGCTCGCTAGCTAGCTCGATCTAATTAATGGCCTGGCCTGGCCTGGCCTGGCCGGAGTATTAATTAATATAATTACGTGGTGTAGGTGTCCCTGCTGTAGATGGGATGGTAGTGGTAAACGTAGCAGGCAACGACGGTGAACGCGCAGGCTAGTGCCAAGAAGAGAGCCTTTAAGCCGGTCGCCAGGAGAGCCGCCATCGCACTAGTACCTACGTATTCTGACTTCTTCGTTGCTTGCGCTACGGTGGTGTCTCCATTAGAGTGAGATCATCAGAGCTTTTTAATGGCGGCCAGAAAATTAAGGAGTACTAATAAACTAAACATTCTTCATCACTTGGTCAGATATAACAAATAATGAACAGACAACAACAAGTATAGTTGTTATTCCGGACCAAATTAAAATAAAGCTAGATTCCCACGGCCACGCTACCTGCCCCCATTGGCCAGTTGCATGCCTCGCACTCATCTTTGTTTCACCATTAATTAAATTTAACACAAGGTATTAGGTAACCCTAATTAAACTAAACATAAAGCAGACAAAAGGAGTCTACATTATTCTGATCCAGCGCATGCAAATGCAATGCATGTGGCCAACTTGCAATCGTGGTTCCAGTCCACAACAAACTAAACTAAACTAAACAAACAGTAAAATTAAAGGATTCCTAAGACAAGTGGCCTGGTATTACCATTACCACAAAGGTACGTATTAGCAATTAAACTAAACATAAAACTGCGATCCAGCAGCGCATGTGGCCAATATTTCATCATGGTTTCAATCCATTAGAATAATTAAGCCACAAGTTCGCAAGAATTACCAAAAATCGCGTTTACTAGACAAGTGGGTACTGAACAACACTCACCCCTAACTGTTCTTGAATAAAGCTAGGAGTTATACTTACTCCTCCCTGGGTCGCCATATCCGACCGCCGGCCAGTCCTCTGATGTGACAATCCATTCCATGGTCATTTCAAAATTGGAATTTCAGATAATATATTTTGACAATACATGTCATTAAAATAATTCATCATTTTTTTGTCTTAAAATGAAACACGATACTTTTACTTGAGCAAAATTGCGATCACCAAATCGTTTAGGGTAAATACAATATATTAGCCACAACTATTATGAAGCGGGAAATTATAGCCACAATTATGGAAATTCAAATTATTAGCCATAACTATCGTCGCGGGTCAAGATATGGCTAACTGTCCGTTACTGTTATTAAATTTTTAACGGAGAAGGCCACGTCATCGGTCACGGCAACAGCCACGTCGGACTGCTTTTAATTTATAACTTTAAAACCCAAAAAATTTGTGAGTATTACTAAAGGAATTGTTATAGATAGTTAAAGTTTGGCTAATAATTTGTTGTGGCTATAATTTCCCGCTTCATAATAGTTGTGGCAAATATATTTTTTACCCAATCATTTATTATGGATGATTTTCAATCTCAACAAAAAGCTGAGATTGTCAATATCTCAATTTTTCTTCCTCATTTTTTGTGGGATCACTAAAACTATTCAACCTCCAAATAATGTAATATTTAAATTCATACATTGAACAATGCATTTAATTAGAATACATAAATTAATTAAAGGCATCAATTTAGAGAATCCTAACAATCAAAGATGGCCTCAATTCATCAGTTTTGTTAACCAAATTAGGCAAATTCCAAAAAATCAAAATCAATTTTTTAAAAGGGCTTATCGAGTAATGGTTAATAGATAACTCCCTTAACGGTTTTGGTTTGGTTTGGATAAACCAAATACATGGTTTGCAAATCCAATGGAGCCAGATAATACAACAAGAAACATGCGATAGTAAAAATGTCTACTACACATAAGTTTGCGATAAAGCATGTTGTTGACGAATATTGACTTATTTAGGGTGGAATGATTTCGTATTTGTATTTTGGTTTTAAGTGAAATCGAAACAATTAAGACATTAAACAAATTTTAATTGTAATGACAGATACCAAGAGTAT